TATATAAATACCACAAAAATATTGGAATTGATTAAATTAATTTCATAAAATTATTACAATATAATATATTTTAATTTAATAAATATATAAATTTATAAATTTATATAGTTAAGATATTAATATATAAATTTATTTTATTATTTTGCTTATATAAAAATAATTTTAATATATAAATATTTTATGTTTATAAAAGTATTATTTTTAAATTAAAATATTGTATAAATCTTAATAAATAAATTTTTTTATATATATTTATATTATTTAAAATTTATTGTTATCTATTAATTATTTAAATATGTGTATTTATATATATTTTTTATTGAAGTTTTTTTGCTGTTTGCAAATATTTTCGATAACCAAACAACACTGTTGTTCGGGCATTGCTAAATGAGATGTACTGAGGGCATGGACTTATAACCTCTAGGGTGGATATGGGATATGGATATGGGATGAAATTTAGTTATTTTTATCTGAAGGCTGAACGACAAAACATCAACTGTATTTTAAGCACAAACTTTATAAGTGGACAGCTAAAGTGAGAGACCCTCTTCAATGACATACAAAACCTTTCTGATATCATTTTTATCCAACTTTTTGAGTATTTCGAGACCGCTCGGAAACATTGAAATTATTGAACGCCAGAATTTATCTGATTTCTAAACTGAGATTGTTAAGAAGTAAGCTGAAAATTTTAGAGTTCAGATAGATGATCCTGCAATTAAGAGTGCTGGTATAACCGACGAAATTTTAGAAACTTTTCTCTTATTTCAATAGTTCAAGTAGAAATTTCAAATTTTGAGGTATGTCGATCAACTTCTGTTAATCTGTTTTCAGGTTATCAACGTACTCGTTCCTTGCTATATCTTTATGGGTAGAAACACAATGACTTAATATTTTATTGAATATATTTTGTTAATATTTTGTTATTTTGTAGGTTATTTTAAAAAAAAAGTAATTCATATAAATGAATATATATAAAATGAAGAACACAAAAAAGTTATAGGTGAGCTTTTTCTATTGTATTTCTATTGTATCTTCACAAATTTTATTAAAAAAATCCTTTTTTTAATATATTTAAATTTTCTTAACACTCGCAACAGTTCTAAATAATAAACAAACTCTTCTATCATCTGACTGGAGTTTTCCATTTTCTTCCAAAATTCATTTACAATAGATCAGTTTTAAAATTTGGCACCATAGTTATGCAAGCGACTTATTCGTTAAGCTGTTTCAGAAAAATGGGCTTATTTTCACGAGTTTTGTTTTTCTTTGTATGTTAATTTTTAAGCGACACGTGTTCTATTGAAGCATTTATGTCGAAAGAACACACCTTAAGTTGAAAGATTACAGTCTCAGATGCTTGATATATATGTTAACAATCGTTCTACACTTATTCGTTCTTTGTTTAAACTTTTTACAACAGTGAAGACTTGATTAAACGAGTTTGATAATACCATGCTTTTAACGCTGCTTATAAAACGGTTTTATCTTTATTAAATATTAATAAAATCTTGTTTTTATCATAATTTGGAAATTTTTTAGACAATCTTCGACGATGCCATCACACTTTTTAAGCTATTTTTAATGTAATTTTTACGATTTGTACATACATATGCTTCACTGAACTCAATTCTTAAACTCTAATGCTCCACCTGATACAGTACTTAGATTACTAGCATTAAATATATATAACGACTAAAGCCGCTTGAAGCAAAATATTTATTTATCTGGTGCTACTTTATAAAATTTTGTATAAAGATTAACTATTATAATATGTAGAACCCTATAAGTATGCAATACTTATACTTGTAGTTAAAATAGGGTTACCAACTTTCCAATATATTTTAATACAACAGCACAACAGATAGATATATGTTACATAAAATAAGTATGGTATATAATATATATAAGAAAACGCAGCGATGCTTGTAGGAAATGCAACAAGCCGGATGCAAAGGAAATTCTAGAGCATCTGCTGTATAACTGCTCGGCTCTCTCGAGTACTCGACAAAAATACATAGTAGCTGTCAGTTTTACAGGACTGAAGCACATGCCTCAGGTTGCTGTTGAACTCTTAATACGATTCGCTAATAGCACGCGCATCCTGAGTAATGCATACTTTCGCCAGAAATAAGGCTCTAATGTGGTATCGCAATGGGCCTTAATGGTTTATGCGTGGGTTTTTTTTTTTGGTATAACCTAACCTATATAAGAAAATGAAGCTCTTCCAAGTGAGACATAATAAATCATCGCAATTTCGATTATACTTTATATTTTAATGTTTTTTCATACAAAAGAAATTTATACGAAGTGCAGGATCGAATGATAATTAACAATAAATGGAGTCAAAAGGAAACAGATACGCTTACTGTCACTTTATGAACGATTGCACACTTTCGTAAAGGTCAAGACCTTAATAGTATTGTGTAACAAAATTATACATACCTTTCTCTAGTGGCCTCTTCTATCGGTGACATAAAGCTTCACCTATCAGCTATACATTACTCTCATTATTTCCAGTACGGAATAAGTTTTCATAACTCTACCCATCACCTCTAAACTAAAAGCTTTGATTGTCATTCTTAACAGTATCCTATAATTCTATTTAAGTGTAGTCAGTTCCAAAACATATTAATATAGTGAAAGCGTTAGCGGACTTATCAGTTAAGTTGATGAAGTTGAAACTATGATAGGTATATACAAAACAATGTACGTCTATTCCTAATGTGTACCCAAAGTGCAGAATCACAACTTATTCATTAATATCTTGCCCCTTTGCACAAACAAATTTGTGCTTTATTGATTTATCATTCTGCCCTATCGAACGGATAGGATTCTATAGCCACCACTAAACTTTCGCAATCACTACTCTCCTTCTCTCCTTGAGATAAGTTCATTATGTTATGTGTTACTGATGGCCCTTCATGCCATAAAAAGAACCAATTTCGTGCAACCTTCTTCTTTCCTTTACGAAATTTTTGGACACATAAAAAAAATTAATTTATTAAACACCAATATTTATATGTAGGTGGCACCTCAAGATATAATAAAAACTATTTCGTTTTTGTGTAACGAAATATTTTATAAATATATTATCAGTATTTCAGTTATGCAAAAATGAAAATCATGAACGCGGCATTTTTATAATTTGTCATTACGCCTTGAAAGTTGACAAATCCATCATTGTCAACTAAGTACTGATAGTGGCTCAACATTAAAACCTCAAAATAACAATATTGATTAGAGATATTTAATATTTGTAGATATGAAATACTTCGACGAATCATACAAGAAAAAAGCAGAGGTAACCAGGGCTATCTTTTTGTGTGCTTACGAATTTTAATATAATTAATTTAGCACAATATTAAGAAGCGACTCTAACACATGTGTAAAAAATGCAAATAAAATTATATACTCAAACAAAATATATATTTATTTTAAATTGTTTAATTTTTAGTAGTTAAATGCCGCTTTAAATTAAATCAACCTTATATGATAGATACATATATAAAGTATTATTATTTTAATTCTCTATTTACTATTAATAACATTTTTCATCAAATCTTTAAATATAATAAATAATAATAATAATTATACAACCATTACATTTTATTATCATTACATCTTATTATCATTAATTTTTATTATCATTACATCTTATTATCATTAAATTTTATTATAATTACATTTTATTATAATCACATTTTATTATCATTAAATTTTATTACCTATATATTATATTATTATCATATTTATATAACTTTTTATTTTACATAAACTTTATCTTTGAGAAACAGTTCACAATGAATCGAATATAATTATTAATATATGCTTATAGATATACCTATAAGTAAATGGAACATATATCTCCTATTATTTATATAAAAAATAACAAAATTTAATTTTTCTACATACTAATTCTGTAATACTATCGTTTCTTGCATTCTATCTACATACATTAACTGGATAGGATTTATAGTAAACTAGATTAGATTACGTTATTACGATAATCCAAAGGATGTACTAAAACCTATTGCACTATTGAGTTATTCTACAAAACTCTAAAGATTTAAAAGCACTGAAAACCTTAAATAAAGCATAAACTGCATTTCAAGGAAAGATTTTATAGGTGACTACTATACTCTATCAAGCAAGCACATAACTTCTTTAATTAACATTGCACATGTTTATGTTTGCATATTGTTGATAGTTCCTTCTTACAACACTATTTTATAAAAAAGACGGTCTACTTAGATTATGCAAGTATTTAGAATGTATTCTAAAGATACCGTATGTAAGTGTATCTATTACAATTTTACTTATGTTTTATTTAAAGATATGTCGCAGTTAAAAATCATCCTACATGTAATTTAGACTAAACTCAAGAGCTTCAAAGCAACAACTTCTTTAAATAAAGATGTGATTATCAGTAAGAAGAAATTTCGCTATCTACCTTATTATCCATTCTAGAGCCGTGAGTAAAAATGAATTAATCCTTTCTTAAATAGGGACCTCACAACAATAAGACATCTTTAGACTTATTTCTAGAATATTCGGTTTAACAATATTAATATATAGTTGGGTATTATAAAAATCAAATAATATAAAATATAATATAATTAATATAAAATTTATCACTAAATAATAGTCATAACCTTATCAAGCAATAGTTGAAAAGACTTCATCTAAAATTAGTTTCTGCTCCACATAAAGTGCTTCATAATTTACTACTCGGCAAATATTAATCTGAAAAATAAATGCGAGTTTTAATAAAATATGAACTATATACATATAAACACATATTATATATACTTACCGAATTTTGAATAATAAACCATTCCAACGAGAGAGTATGGTACTGCACATTAGTAAAAAAAAAAAGGTTCAACTGTAACACAAATATAATTAATACGCAATGCAAATCTTTTAGAAAAATAAATGAAGTTGTTTACCTTTTATAAAACAAAACGAGAGGATATGTTTAAACTATATTAAAAATATTTAAATGTATATACATATAGATAGTTTGAAAGTTAAGCCAAAATTTCAGATTTTGTGGACGCAATTACTGATGCGACGGTAAAAGTCTATTTACCTTCTCGCATCTTATTCAGTGTCTTCTCATTCAAGAACCAACTTCCAATATACATCAGCAATGGAGAACGTGCTACATACGCCATTAAGTTCAAAGGAAATAAACCACACCATACAAACATCATTTTATTTGCCAAAGCCACAGCAAACAATTTACCACAACGTTCGGCGGTCATACGTTTCTGATTTTTAGTGCTCATGCTGGCTTTTTTATTTGCAACAGCGGTGAAAGCTTCCTGTAGAAAATCTGTAGCAATTGCGCCTGGTGAAAAAATGGTGACATCAATATTCCGATGTTCAACACGCAAAGCGTTCATATATGCATTAACAGCATGTTTAGCAGCACAATAGCTTGCAGAGAATGGCGCTATTGCAAAGCCGGCTACACTTGATGTGACTGCGATATGACCGCGAGCATTCAAATCACGTTTCAAAAAATAACGCACAACTACACGCGACAAATGAACCACCGAGAACACATCCAATTCAAATAATTCACGATCAACTTTAAGCTCGATATCTTCCCAGTTAGCACGTTGCGAACGACCAGCATTATTTACTAAAATATCAAGACGTCCGAATTTTTCGAGTACGCGATCCAAACATTTCTGATGATCTTCAATTTTTAACATATCCATTGGCATGACAAATACATCTTTTTCATGTAACTTTCCATTTGACTTCCTGATGCATTCGGCTTTCACCTCCTCCAATTCCTTCTCTCTTCTTGCTGATAAAATAAGTAGTGCACCTTCTTGTGCTAATTGTAAGGCCAGTGCACGTCCAATGCCACTAGAGGCACCTGTGATCCAAACGATATTTTTTCTTAATTCCGCTATAGGTTTACCAAAGTGCTCTTTGTAGATAAGCCAAACATTTCCATCGCACACAATCCACAGGAACACATATACGATATAATAAAGTATTACAGAAAGACCGAGAAACGCCAACCAACTCATTGTATGATTTGCTTTCAAATAGTCTCAACCAATTTTTGCAAACACATTAAATCAAATAATTATTTTTGTTTTATTTTAATCTAACTTTTTTTATTTTAATGTTGTCATTGTAATTATACAATCTTATCATTTTATAAAAATGTTTGGGAACAATTAGTAAAAGAAGTTAAAAAAAATTAAAACAGAGACACTAGTATTTATAGACATCAGAAATGGACAAACCTGGCCGAAATGTATGTGGCACTATAGTTCAGCCGCTAGTTTTAAAGATACACGCTCTATCGCTTGCAATATCTGTTATTAGAGACGTGTTTCAAATGATATTATCTTAGATAATATTACTACCTACATTATACATGTTTAAGTCTAGAGACAATATAAAATTAAAACAACACTAACTTCTGGAGTTGATGTTGATACTTTCTCAATTGTTGTAATGAAAGCTTAGTTCGCATCCAACCAGGAATTCCAAATTGTTCCTGCTGGCATAACCAAATAACTGCTTTGTCAGGTGTGGAGGAAATTCAGTATCTTCTCCATGGAAGTATGCTGATGTACAATGATGTCTCTATTGTTGATTGTGATTTTTGGCGCCCACTAATCAGATGTTATGTAATCTGTTGACAGAAAGAAAAAAATATTATTAAATTATTCTTGTGTGTAGGGATTCGTCAACAAAGCACATTGTCTCCCCACTGGAAAGGTTTTGCATTAACTGTAACGCAATTTGTGAACTTGCTTATACGGACACCTCCTACAATAGCACTGCATTTTTTCAAACCACATCTCTAACTATTATCACTAAAAATCTATGAATCTGTGCGTAGGATTCAACTCCAATCAATCCAATGTAACCTATATATATTTTTCACTAATTTCATAAATAATTTATAAGTTGAAATAATAAATATAATTTCTTTGGTTTTGGAATGATAAGTTAGTCATAATAACGTCATAACATTGCTTTTAATTATTATGTCCTAGAGTGTTAATAATTTTAATACAGATCTTATTAATATTGATAATTATAATAAAAACTATTTAATATCTTACTAGTTAAAAATATATCAACAAGCACTAAATTATCTAAAGTTAAAAACATCAACAAGGCACTGTGTTAGTTTACTGTGTCAGTTAACAAAAAATCAAAATCTAGTTGTACTATATCTGTTACAAATATTTCTATGTTTGATAGTGATTATCTAAAATCTCACATATGTTGAAACTTTTTGTGAAAATTATCGCACTAGTCAACCAGAATTTATTAATACAACACAGGCAGTCTAAAATAGCGCATTTCGTTAACATCACACAACTACCCTACAGTTATATTCATAGTTATAGCTACCTGGTTTTAGAAACCAATGTAAATCTATGCAGACCTGACAGTGCAACACAACGATTTGTTAATCAAAAAATTAAATATCAAAATAAAATTAATAAAAATAAATTATAAGTACAAACCTGTCATAATCCTGCTTATATGCTTATGCATATTGATTTGAACCTTATCCACATAAAAGGAACAACGCCGTTGTAAACATCTTGTTCAAAATAATCCATGTTGTCATCAATCAAACCACATCACAAACTCTTATGATCATCAGCTCGTTGTTTTACAATCATGAATTCATTAGAATTTAGAATTATGAAATTAGTTTACATCTAAGCACGATGTTTGTGCTTATAGTTTTTGCAGCCTGATTTTGTCTTCTTTTCCATGGTATCAGATTGTTGTTATAAATTGTTGATTTGTACCTAATGATTGTAACAAAAAATTTAGTATTTGATATAAATTTATTGAAAACCGTAATTTTACTAACCACCTGTACTTTTATTATTTTACTTCGTTCGATGGTTAACTTTTAATATAATTATTAAAATAATTTGTACCATAAATCTGTAATTCTGTAACAGACTTCCACTGATATACATATATTAAAGTTAGGTTGCAAAGCAATTAACGGTACATAAAATTAAAAATATGCAGAAGCAAAAGGAAATCAACTCTCCACATTATTTTGTTTTTTAATATTTTTAAATTTATTATAATTTTCAAAATAAACAATTTTAATCAATTCGCAAATCCTTACTAATGTTTAAAATAAAAACTGACAGTTGAAAGGCAGGGTTGACAAAATTTTATTATGTCTTATATAGTCTTAGCTGATCTATTACTCTTTTTTATTTACAAGGTATACGGACTTTAATAATAATTTTTTTCAACTATTTATAAATCTAATTCCACTCTCACATTTTATGTTGTTTGTCAACTACCATTGCCTAAAAATAATTTTTATTTAACTAACACATTATACACACTGCACCTTGTAGTACACTGACACTGTCTCATTTAGACACTTGCTCATTTCATTTATCATTTATATTATATTTATAATAGCAGTAATTTATTCTTTCAGAGTTGATGTTGTTTGTCAACTACCATTGCCTAAAAATAATTTTTATTTAACTAACACATTATTCACACTGCACCTTGTAGTACACTGACACTGTCTCATTTAGGCACTTACTCATTTATATTATCATTTATATTATATTTATAATAGATAGCAGTAATTTATTCTTTCAGAGTTGTAAAAAAACAATATTTAGTCTGGTTGAAAAAAGTTGGCATCACTTTTAAAATATATTAAATACTTATTTTTGACATACGTTTTTTGTTGTGTGAGAATCGCAGAGCACGAGCACATAAAACGAAGGGTTAAGGGTATGCAACGATTTATAAAATCTATTATGCAATCTCTGGTGATATTTTGATAAAGTAACCCTTGTTTTTAGACTCCAGACCTTAATGAATGATGTATAAAAGTATTAGTTCCATATGGCAGTATCTGTTTCCGTTTCCCGGCAATCACAGGACACTACCATTTATAATGTAGGGACAAGGCCATACCGTGATCTATAAGATTTGTTATGAGAATTATTATATTATCTATGAGAATTTTTATAAACTAACTTTTGTTCAATTTTAAGACTCCAGACTTCAAAGAAAGCCGTGTAGAAGTACTAGATTCGTTTCTTGGTAATCATAGAACGCGAACACTAAAATGAAGGGATTATAGTATACCACAGTCTATGAGATCTATTCTGCTAAACCTGCTAACTCTTCTTTTAAGACTCCACACCTCAATGGAAGACATATGTGAGTACTAGATTCGTTTCCTAACACTCATAGAGCACGAGCGAATAAAATGAGGATATGTTTCAATCCGTAATACACAAAATTGGAAGGTATCAACGTTCTTCAATATCTATGACTTAGAAACCTATCAATATTTTTTTCTTGAGACCAATTGTATGCTTGAAGTTTGTTAGTTTTTTAACATTTCACTTTTACTTATTATTAATGAAGTCTGAAAAGTCTAGTCTTGTCAGTTGTTTCGTTACTGGCGAATCCTTAATGACTTGGTATCAAGACGAGTTTTACTTTGTTCGTTTCAGTTAAATCCGACACGACACTTTTACAATTTTATAGCATAATGTTAAATATGTCTTACACAAATTGATTAATTAAAAATTATAATTGTTTTGCAAAACGTTAACATTGTAAGTTAATTGAAAATTTAATAAACGTAATTTTTCAATAATTATTTATCAATATAAAAATGTATAATTATTAATTTAACTATTTATCAATAAAAAAATTGTTTTTTATTGTAACAATAATACTTCCTTTCTATCAGCTAATGTAAAAATAAAAACAGTTTTTTGATGTCTTCACGTACAAAGTTTTTATAGAGTTTTGTAATATAGCATAAACAATTATTTAATTTATTAATTCTAGTTAACACTATCATGGATTTATTATCTGTGGGCACTTATTATATCAAATACGTATTTAGATAAATGTTATGGTATCATATTAATTTTTCAAAAAAAAAAGTGATTGTGTTAATTATAAAAAATGTTACAAATGTCAGCAAATAGCAAATTATTCATTAATTAAATAGTTTCTATAACATTAAAAACGTATAAACGTATGAAACAAAATTATAATATGTGGTACAGCAACTAAGTAAGCAACCCACAATATTTATAAACTTTTAACAATAAATGAAAGACTAAATAAAAAGTTTTAATACAGCTATTAAGTCTTGGAGATACCCCGATTTACTGTATATATAGCACTACTTTCGTAGCTCAAATTTCGATGAGTAGCTCTAGTTAATTGTTATAAACAAGTTTATTAATTTGATGTATACATAATTATTTATAAGTTTTAGTCATTTAATTCAACTAACATATACTCACTAACGCTTATCAAGTTTTGAATAAAAAGCAATGCTCTTTACCCTCTAACCCATACCCGAAAGAAAAGTTAACCCTGAAAGCACTCTGGACTTCACTTAATAATAAATACAAAAATAATTTGAAAATTCATATATGTGACTTAGTTTAAATTTGAAATAAAAGCAAAAAGTATTTAAAACTTATTAGTAATATGAATAAATTGCAGAACTCCCATTTACAGTTGAGACAATATGCATTTAAAGTTTACCCTCACGTATTTTGTTCAAAGCCTTTTCATTTAATAACAAAAATACAATATGCGATAATATGGGAGATCGTGCTACATATGCCAATACATTAACTGGAAACAGACCACACCATACAAACATCATTTTATTTGCCAAAGCCACAGCAAACAATTTGCCACAACGTTCGGCGGTCATACGTTTCTGATTTTTGGTACTTAAGCCAACTTTTTCATTATGACGCGCTGTAAAGGCTTCCTGTAGAAAGTCTGTAGCAATTGGTCCAGGTGCAAAAATGGTAACATCAATATTCCGATGTTCAACACGCAAAGCGTTCATATATGCATTAACAGCATGCTTTGCACCACAATAGCTTGCAGAGAATGGCGCTATTGCAAAGCCGGCTACACTTGATGTGACTGCGATATGACCGCGAGCATTCAAATCACGTTTCAAAAAATAACGCACAACAACACGCGACAAATGAACCACCGAGAACACATCCAATTCAAATAAATCACGATCAACTTTAAGCTCGATATCTTCCCAGTTAGCACGTTGCGAACGACCTGCATTATTCACTAAAATATCAAGACGTCCGAATTTTTCGAGTACGCGATCCAAACATTTCTGATGATCTTCAATTTTTAACATATCCATTGGCATGACAAATACATCTTCTTCATGTAGCTTTCCATTTGACTTCCTGATGCATTCGGCTTTCACCTCCTCCAATTCCTTCTCTCTTCTTGCTGATAAAATAAGTAGTGCACCTTCTTGTGCTAATTGTAAGGCCAGTGCACGTCCAATGCCACTAGAGGCACCTGTGATCCAAACGACATTTTTTCTTAATTCCGCTATAGGTTTACCAAAGTGCTCTTTGTAGATAAGCCAAACATTTCCATCGCACACAATCCATAAAATCAGATATACGATATAATAAAGTATCACGGCAAGACCGATAAACGCCAACCAACTCATCTTACAATCTCGTCGAAAGTAATCTCGTTCGACTTTGATATTTTTATTAAATACAAATACAAATAAAAGTGATACTATAAAAAAATAGACGTGATCTGTTTTGTTTTTGTTTTTATTTGAACTTAACAGGGTTGTCGTGAGCTGAAAAAGTATGTACGGAGCTGAATTGTAATATAACAAACATTTAACGTTTTCGTAATTTTTATACGAAGGCCGTGTGCGAGTTCAAGTTAATTGATGGTAAATTGAGGAAAATAGTAAATTATGTCGATGTGGCAACGAATGTTGGTATTTATCAGAATTTCGAGTAGAGTGAATTAGATAAAAATTAGGTAAATTAGGTGTTACCATTGTGGAAATTTTATAAGATGTTTAATAAAAAAATAAATAAATTTGAAAACTTTTAACCAATAATAATAGGTAAATACAATAAACAAATGTTAACATAAGTGCAGTGCAAAAAATCCCTATGAAATTCCAATCTACCTCAATTTACTAAAATTGTGCTGTTGCAAATTTGTAAAACGATGCAAAGTCATATATTTATGATAAAAGCAGAGTCAGCTGTAACTTTTAAAACTATCTTAAAAAATTATATATAAATTAAATGGTAATAGTTGATTAGATGATTTAGTAAATTCGTAAGTATGAAGTGGTAAATATTATTGACACATCATATTTAGTACATCTTCAACAGGTATTTAACATGCTAAATGCCAAATTGTGATTTATTAAATTAGTTAAGTGATCGGAGGAGAACGAATAAATTTGTGTGGGAAATGCCATGCAATTGTGATATCAGTTTGTCGAATCAAATAAATCAGCTTTTAATATACTTGAAAATACAAGCTATACCCAGCTATATTCATGACATACAACTCTAATCTAAAGTATGATATAGACGATGCTACATGAATGTAAACCAAGTATGGCGTGCTACCACATCGCTCTGTGTATATTCAAGTATGCATACCAAATTTCGGTCTGTAGATATGTAGGCGGTAAAATTACACCTTGTTTTTAAGTGTATAGCAAAGCGCATACTTGGTCTACAGACTTGGTGTACATACCTGTAGAATCGTCTATACCAGAGCTGTCCAAAGCACGGCCCGCGGGCCACATGCGGTAAGCAAATAATATTTGTGAGGCCCGCGACATGTTTTTAATCTACTACAACTACACAATTTTTCTTTTGGTGTACTGGTAAAACCACATTTTTTTTATTTTTATGGTATACCAAATAAATGAATTTAAATTGATAAATTAATAAAACTAAATTTAACATTACATCCATAATTTTATTTTTACCGAAAACAGGTATGAACGTATGTATTTGTTTCTGCAGCACTCCAATCTCTATAGTGTTTTGTATTGGTCTGTGATTGCAACTGGTCTGGACAGCCTTGGTCTATATCATGCTTGAGAAATGGCAACAAAAAACTGATAATTTGTGGAATATAAGAAAACATTTGAAAAAATCTAAGAAATTCAAAAAATCTTAAGAGATAAATTTAAATCTAAGCGAAATAATTTGCTTATTGCACTGAACAAAATAAACAATGAAACTATCAGCTTATATACTTCAACGTGCCTAGTAAGGATACCACCAATAATTTATTTTATTTACCTCTTGAGGTATTAAACGTCTGCTATATAATTTCTATGCTATGCCGAATGACTAGTTTCGGGCTGGTTTTAAAAGCCTCAGTAACACAAATTGTAAATATATTAATTCAATTATAGTTAACCCTCTCAAAAAAAAAAAATATTTATAGGTTAATTAAGAATAAGATAATTATTTAATAACCTATATAAAACAAGGTTATTTAATCATATAAAAAGTTAATAAATTTGTTCAAATTATTATATTAATTTAGTTTTATAAATGCAGCCGAAAACACCACGTTATTAAAACAAAAGTTTTATATTCAGTTTCTTTTTTTATTAGAAAATTTTGTATGCAAATTAAATTAAAGAAAGACCTATGTTAAATTAGTCATAACCAAAAGCGCTATCTGACGCACTTTGACACAAATCTTTAAACATATCCTCTGGCATATATTGAAAACTTAAAATAGCATTCACAATTGCCATTGTGTCTTTTGGGTATTTTGACTTTACCCAAATTCTTCCATTTAAGCCAACAGCAATTTCGAAAGTAAAATGCTTTGTCAGTTCACTAAGAAATGTACACTCTTTATTCAATATCAGTTGGCAAGTACTTAACAGACAATCAAAGACATAGCCTCCATCAGGTAATTTGCCCATTCGTCTCTGTTTACCCACAGCGTCTACACATACTACTTCAGCTTCATACATGGGACCACTGCTTAATATACGTGCATAAACCAAATCGCCTACATCCAAATCAGGGCGATTTTTCTTTGTGACACCTTCAAATGCTAGATAATCCAATGAAACCTGTTCATATGAGTTAATTTCAATGCGGAAGTTATCTGTTGATTTATTCATGACAACACCAATAACATTGTCACCACGTACAGGTTCGTATCGATTACCGAACCCACTCATATAATATATATTTGGACTCCTGTAAGTCAATTTAGCAGCAACTTCACTTTGACAATGCGTGCTTAAACAACCTATCCCCGGACCAACAACTACTTTATTTATTTTCGATACATCGTGCAAAATTGGTAACTTATCACCAGGGAGTAGCACTCTTCCGCTTTTACTTTCATTCATCTTTATAAAATTATAATATTTTACTTTATAAAAATGTGTTAACCTGTCGGTATTTTGATTAAAACAATAATGTGGACTGCTGAATTGTGGTACTGTTTGTTGTGAGCAATATAGCGCTATAACTATAAAAAAACATTTTTATTAATATACATATATATAACTTATATATAACTTATAATGCTTAACACAATTACGCACATTTCACATGTAAACAAAATTCTTTATTAAAATATTTGAACTTTTCATGTGTGTTTTATTTACTATTCGTCTGATGGCTAAAACTTGACATTTACCGCATTTGTTGCATGTCAGTCATAAACAGGGATGTTATATTTTCAAAATTAATTTATTTGTTTTCATAATAAAACCGTTTAAAAAGTTGAATGCAACTTTTCATATCTATTGACTACAAATGTCACGAAATTGACTTTGTAATTAAATAATTAATCTGTTTATTTGTTTGATTTGTAAGCAAAAAAATAATAAAATTAATAATGAGAGTAAAATCATCATGAGTAATACTAGGTTTACATTGTGGGATTAAGAAAACGAGATTAAGTTAATCGTATTTTTAATCTCCATCGTTTACGTTATACATTGGACATTAATATTAACGTTTTTCTTGTTGTGTTTTGTTTTGTGTTTAATAAATTTTTGCAAATAAAGCATTTGGTTACAAATTTGTACAACAGAAATGTAATATAAATTCAATACATAGTTTTTTAACAATAATTTAACAAATTTTAGTTATAATATTGTACAAAATTATTATTAAACAAATTTATAAAAAATTCATTCACTTCGATATTTTCAAACTTTAAATGTTTCTTTTAAATAGATTTTGACATTTCTTCTAAGATCGTAAAAAATCTACGACATTAAGCCATTTGCAGAGTTGCACAGAAAAATAATCACCATATCCAAGGATATTAAAAATTAATCTCGACCAGAAGGAGTTTAACCTTGTATGGGAAATCTGAAATTCAACAACGAGATTAGTACTTTAATTACGATTATTGCTTTAACCTACTCTTATTCTCACAATGTAAACACCGTAAACAAAAACACAGTAATCATGAAGCGTTCAATTAATTTTATTTGTTATGATATAATATCATATAATATGATATAAAATTGCAAAATGTAAAGATTATTTCAATTAATCAAAAATTTTATTGTCATACCAATTTATTTCTGTATAAATGTCTTATAACATATATGCATCACATCTAATCGTATGTGAATCAATAATTTTTGTTTAAAAAAGTTTATACAATTAATGGATTTAATAAATAACCTCGTATCTAACGCGTCTTGTCATTGATTTAGTGGACCAAATGTGTTTAAACATTATGTGATATATGGAGCTTATAGATATAAGCCTCTAAATAAATTATGTACGATAGTGTATATATAATTGCGAATTTCACACACACAATTATCGTTTTTGTATAGATTTTGTATGAAAAACCTCTGTGTCTTACAGAAATAAGAAACTATTTAAATACTTCATAGCAGAATATTCTAGATAGTGTGTGTTAGTGTATTAAACTTTTTCTCGCGCTGATTGTGTTTTCAATATTAATTATTACACAAAAAATTATTTAGAATTGTTTGCAAAATAAATGAAAACCAATTGTTTTCACTTTTATTATTCATCAACTTCACACTTTTATAAAGTCCTATCATTTCATTTAAATATTATATATAATTAATTATTAGATATTTTTTAATCATATGAAGTTGTAATATTTTCATCCCATAACAATCGGCAGACTTTCACTCTGAACTTATTCCTTTCTTTTTCTCAGCCTTAGAAACACCTATCAAAAATGGTAGTTAACACAAGTTTCTCTAGTTTTTAATGTCTGGTGACAAACCGATTCTCATATCTTATTTGTTGTATTAGATATAACTGCAGAATATTCTATATTTAAGTGATTCCTTAACTATAATTAAAAAATGAACATTGCCATAGTTAATCAAACTATTTTCAGAATCTTATTTAGTAAATGTCTCTTTTACAATAATTGATATATAGTCCGGTTGTCCATCCTACAGTGTGGTTCACTTATCACCAAACCAAACTTTCAGTAATATTGTGAGTTTAAAAAATATTTATTTTATCACTTATATAACAATATATTTCTGTGAAAGATTAAGTATGAATATTGAAGAATTCCAATTATTTTCTGATAATAGTAAAAATAAGGTAAATTACTAGTCACACTATCATCCCTTAATGGTTTCTCCGTAGATATATTATATAAATATATAACATATAGTTATTAATAAATTTTATTAATTTTGAATGGATTAAAAATTATCTGCTATCGAACTAGTGTATTGATGGCTAAATATTTCTTGTTAAATATATGCATTTCTTATGATTGATTTCGATATGATGCTTTCCAACATTCTCCCATTCACCTCTAACTGAAACTTGAAGGTCATTTCTAAGAAAGCTTCTTAGTTTACAAACAAAATTTTTGGATTAAAAAGGGGAGTTGGATTTTTATTGATTGCAGGAAGATGCTTTATTAGCTTGATTTAAAAATAAATGTTATACCAACATAGCTAACAAATTGCTGATAACATTAATATAGTTAATAATTTCAATTCCTTATAAAATTGAATTATTGAAAAAAAAATATATCTACTAATTAATTATTTAATTACATCAATATATTATATAAGGAAAACTTTTCATTTTAATTCATTTTTGTTGAGAAAAAAAATTAGAACGAACGACAACCACCTAATCAATTCATTCTTCTACCAATATATTTATTAATTTTTTCACCTTTTATTTGACTTTGGTTCAGTCATTTATATATTTATTCTATATATCTATCCATCAATATAAATCAATAAATAATTATCATAACTCATTTGAGAGTCTTTGCTGTCATTGATATGTGCCTGATTATATAAATAATTATAAATGTTGTTTGCGATAGGCAAGTTTAAATTTGCTCTTGATCTGTCATGGTTGACAAATAACATAAATCAGCTGTTAATTCCAGGGTAATTAATTAATCTGGCAAAAGAACTAGAGTATTATAAAATAATTTCGAGTGTTATACACTTAAATGAAATCTCACGTCCATAAATTAATCTTAATTTGGTAATGGAAACGCAAATTTACAAAAAAAAAATAGAAATCATATTTTAATTTTGATTGATGTATTTATTATCAATATTTTCATATTCAATCATACATCTATTACACATACAATATATTTATTCATTAATTGTTCTATAGATATATCAACCTCTTCATTTATTGATCTATTTTTATAGTTGTTCAATTATCTATTGAGTGATTTATGTAAGTTTCGAGCATTCGTCTCTTTGCTTATTTAGTCTTTTATTCATTTATTATTCTTTTTTTTTAACATATGTGACTATACATCTGTATACCAATTAATCAAATCAATCTATTTATTTAATCATTATAAACATAACTTAAACAATTATGTTGAACACATTCGTTTTTCTTTCTATTATCGATAAACTTATCGATTCATTAATATCGTTTTTTAACTTATCGATTTATTGACAGCTTGATAAATATAAATTCAACTTCCGTATTTTTGTCTGTGTTCATTAATTTATTTTCCTTTGTGGTTAAAAGTATTTAATTAGTCCTTTTACTCATACAATATGTTTGAAGAGATCTCGGTACCCATTTCTTTTCATTAGGTGGAACGCTTTCTAAAGCCTTTCGTAGTTAGAAATGTTAAAGCTGTAGTTCAGCAAATGCATTTTAATAGCAGTACTTCTAAATTAATAACATTCGCTGGTTACTATATTCATTATCAATGGATAGTTTTGAAAATCGCCAGCTACTTATCCATTAACTACTATATCCATCGTAAAAACTAAACTTAATCGTGCATTGTACAATGCCAGACCGCAACCCTACAAAACTGTCGATTAGAAATGCATTGAGAAGATATTTCACCCATCAGCCCATGAAAGGCAGTTTCTCTATTCCCTTAATTAAGAAAAAACTGAAAAACGATAAGAGGGGAAATAGCAAATAATGAAGTAATTTGGTGACATATAAGTTGTATATAAGAAATAACTACTCTATACTAAATCTATCATAGTTTTATGATATTAGCCAAATAAATTTTAAAGACATAATATCAAAACGGTAAAGATAAATAACACTTGATACCGACATTAGCTGGGTTTGATTTTACAGAGAATTTTCAACTATTCAACATTTTTTATTATTAATAATCATAGGTGAGTTAAACCTTCTAGAACTAAATGCAAATAAAAACAAAACAATATAGATACATAGGTAGGTTGAACGAAGTACCGTGCTTAGATAATTTTACTGGTAGTTTTAGTTTCTTGTGGAACTACGAACGTATTTCAGGTTTAAAAAATTTTTTGACTGCCCCTATTGCTTTTCTTTACTAGTGCTAGCCAGCAATATTCACTGACTTACTCACTTAGTTCGCCTATAGAGGAATGACTGGTTCTTAGCGGTGTCCAGTAGTCTTCGCCAGCTACTGGAAGTGGGCACCACCTACGTCCTATACCGCGTTTTCAACCAGCCGATACGGAAACTAATACTTTTCTAGCTGGAGCATTGTTATTCATTTCTACTAGTCAGACTTAATATGTATTAACTATACTATTGCTTTTTGTTCATAACACATAAGATCTCTTTAGACACTATGAACCATTTTTTTTTCCTGATAATAAACATATTAATAATATCATCATAACAATAATGAATCACTGTTGAATTAATTTGTTGTAAGATCTGTCTTTTTTAGCCTAGAATTTTTGGTTCTCCACAGATCACAGATCCCTCCATTTTCAACTAGCAACTGACCTTTGCTATGACCAGCAACTAAGTGAACCAAAAAAAAAAGTAGTTTTCTGAATTTCAATAATAATTTTAATATTTTTCTATAAGGTGTCAATTTTTAAATATAAAATTATTTTTTTTATTTTATTATTACTTTTATATATTTTTTAACTACAGTTATCGGAAAAATTGCAAAGTACAAATATAAATGTGCAGTTTTAAACAAAAGCCGCAGCAGTATTTTACAAAAAAAACTTATTTTAATGAAAAGCTTTTTATTTGTAATAATATTGCCTATTCATTCGCTCAAGCAAATAAAAACGAAACATTTTTCTCGCTACAAAAGAAATATTTGTGGAATCCATGTATTGTTAAGTTTGGAATGCTTGTGCTTTCTGCCGGTTCACCTTGGCAGAAGGTCATTGCACATATGAAACTGCACCCCCACTAGCAATATTGATAATAACTACAACAACAACAACACCAACACACTACCTTTAACAAGCAAAGCAAGTAAAAAAGAAAAAAATAAATCACATAAATCCAGAAAAGATTTTGCCCTACCGGCAAAATCGCATACAAACTCAAAAATCAGTTCAACTGTGTGCTTGTTTTGCACAACACAATATCGTCTGTGTAGCGTGTTCCACATTTGGAGAATTGCCTATTGCAAAGCAAAGCAAAGCAAAGCGAAGCAAAGAAAACTTACAATCCACACGAGTCAAGGAATGTATTTAACAAATTCAGCAATATGTACTGCATGCAAATTGTCTTCGTCAGTCGTTTTACGGTTATCGTCGGTAAAAGTCGGTGCGGAGTCTCATAGTAAATTTCAATATCTCAATTTCAAACGCCTAAAGTAAGTGTTTGTGTGTTTGTGCTTAAAATGTTCTTACTAGAATATATACAGAAATTATTTAACCTATTTTTGGAGAATATAAAATGACATTTGCGATTACATTTTAATTGAACTTAAAAAAATTAAATCCACAAATTGTGTGCTAAAATAAATGCAGAATTTGTTGTAGTTGTAAAGTGACGTTAGATAACATTTTGGTTTTTCTGAAGAATTGCATTTATGCAAAATTCTAAGCACTTAAATAATTTACTGTTGTAGTATTGTTTACTTGATATTTAATGTTTAGTATAAAATATAATTTATTTAAATAATTTGTTTATTTAAATGTTTCAATTCAATTTTTTCTATAATTGTGTTTTGTCGTTTGGATTATTGAAATCCATTATTTCATGCGTTTCTGATTTGATTTCTTCATTCTACTTTTGACCTCTAATCAAGGCGTAGAGGTCATTCGTCAGAGTACATTGATGAGTAAAAAAAGTTAAAAATCTTGTAATCATCTTTTAAATATAAATTTAAAATATAAAATTACTTTATATTAATATTAAATAAACAAATGAAATTTACAATTTTTGCGGTCTAGAAATAAATTAAATTAATTAAAGTTTTTCACGATAATTTTTTTCAGTGTGCATCGCTCTGCGGTAGCACGTATCAAATTTATTTAGAATCAAGTGATTGCCGCTGACTATAGCATTTTTTTCGTTTTTTTTTTTATTTTTACACTGTAAAGTTGTTACTTTCTATGATTTTTAAATTAATAAGATTTTAATTTAATTAAATTTAAGTTTATATTTTTTTCATATCTAACTAAATATATATATATCATTAAAAAAGGGGGGAGTGTGTGTTTAAATGCTGTGATGTTTGTACTTTCACTTTCTTTTCTTGTGGTCTATAGCTCTATGAGGTCTGACTAACCTATTAGAACTCTTATTTTATTTATTTCACATATTTCACAAAAACTATAGTCACTTCTTAGCAGTTTTATTATTTTTAAATAATAATTTTAGAGTGAACGACCTAGAAGTCCAGTTCCTTATTCGTAGTTCTTCTATTTTACCTATCTATATGTAAGTTTTTGTTAGACCCAAAGTTAAAGAAATTTCGTAGATACCGTAAATTTCAATTTAAATTAAATAAATCACACCACCAACTTAGAGTTATTCTTCTACTAATTTCATCTACACATGTGATTATCTCAAACTTTTACTAAATCTAAAAAATCCTCTTTTGCTTTCCTTTTCATTCCAAATAAAGAAGGCCTTTATGTCTTATAATTTCAAGGGGTCTTACAGTCTTATTGGAGCTCTTATTTTGGGACGCCCAGTAATTTTATACACTTTAAATGATAATTTCAAAGTGCGATTCAAATGACCTCTTATTAGACTTAAAGATATTGAATTTTACTGGAATATATCTGAACTTGAGTTAAATAAATCGTTCCAACTACTTAGAAAAGTGAAAGTAATTTATTCTATTAATGATTATCTCAACCTTTTGCGGAGTGTATAGATTCCTTTTATTTTCTAAAAGTTTACGAGGTTCTACAATTCTGTTGAAGCTCTAATTTAAGTAATACTCACTCATTAAACAAAATTTGGAAACTTCCAGTAATTCCGTAATTAATTTTAATCATAATTTTAAAGTCTGTGATTTGTTGACCTTTGGTTACTTAACCTCTTATAAGAATGAAAAATATTGAATTTTACTAGATTATGAATTGAATAAATCGTTCCACTTACTTAGAAAAGTGAAAGTCATTCCTAAACTGATGTAATCTGAATGTATGATTATCTCAAACTATTATTGAATCTAAATTTCCTTTTATTTTCTTTACTTGTTTCATGTAGCTTTATTGACACTGACTATTTTATCTCATGTTATTGATGATCATTCATTAAACAAACTCAAAAGTCATCCTACTAATCTTTACATAATTAGTTCCATCAGTTGAGTGTTGAAATTCATTACAACGTAATCCATTTAACAATTCATTAGTTAGTTTATAGAATCTTGTATATAATTGTTAGTGCAGTTAATATATTATACTTATATATTATACTTATATATTATACTTATATATTATATATTATACTTAATATATTATACAAAAACACTTCTTAAAACAATGTTAAATTAGTACTAGAATTATGCATCTTTTATATAATAATCGCAGCATCGCTAATGAAGTCAAAACCGGATTGTATTTAAAACACTTTCAGTGTGAACAGCATTTGTTTCTGCAAATGCGAGAAACTCCAGGACGTAGACCCATTTTGTTCAAAAAAAATATTAATTTCACTATTATTAAATAATAACTAAATAATAATAATAACTAATAATATTAATAATAAACAGAAATGTTTGAACTTTTCGGTAAAAAATTGTAAGTTTCAGTTTCATACAGAATCGAATGTTAAGATTGGCTCTATTATAGAATTTTAATTGTTTTCAATTTAATTGAAATTAGAAAAGAAGTTGCAATAATATTAGAAACTGATTTGTATACATGTTTTATGTTTACTCCGAAAATGTTGTTTTTGAAACTTCAATTTAATTAAAAAAAACTATACATCTTATCAAAGATCGTATTAGTAATTAAAGATAATATATTTCTGGAATTTATGATCGTATTAGTAATTAAAGATAATATATTTCTGGAATTTATGTTCGGAGTAACTAGAATTTGCATAATATTGTAAAAATGTCACAACATTAGAAATGCCTTTATACTGAATTATGTATATTTTTTAATTAAAAATTTCTTTAAAAATGTTGATAATTCTCTTCGGAATTGTAACATTCTCCGAACTATGACATTCATTTAAAATTCAGTGGTAGCATTTTATAACGATTAACTTTTTTACGTCAGTTTACATAGTACATATTTATCCATTTTGATAAATAAAAAAGGGAATTATTTCAACTTTTATCATTTTGTATTATTTTCGGAGTACTACTTAACTAGCGATACTAGCTCAAAAATATGCTTTATTTAATATAATAAACAATTATTATTGAAAACAATTAATTCTGTGAAATCAGTAGACAAATTTTTTGTGAATATTTTCGGAGTTATTATCATTTCACAATGAAATGAAGAAATTACATATTATTTAGAAACAAATGACAATAATTTATTGAGTTTCATTACATAAGTACATACTCAGTACATTTTTTTATATTTAAATTTTTTGTCAACATATTTCTAAATTATTTTCGGAGTTGTAGAACTCTTACAATTGTGCCATTAAATTAGTTACGTTTGAAAAAAATGTTTACATATTACTAATTAGTATTTCACCATTAGGTAGTTTTATCTATTAATATAATAATAATTCTTGATATTTTAACATAGTTATACATATGAATTCGGAGTAATTGTTTAACTAGTAAAAATAAGTTGAGAATGAGTCACGATTTATTCATAATGCTTTTCACTACCTTTTGTTAATAAAAATTCAAAATAAAACTAAATGAAATAATGATTACTAGTAAATGAATTTAACGCTTTTAAATTAAAGAAACTATAAAAGAAAAGTATAATTAAAATATAAAAAATATAATTAAAATATAAAAATTATAATTAAAAAATAAAAAATATAATTAAAAAATAAATAGAAAATTAAGAGATAATTGAAAAATAAATTTAAAAACTAAAAAGAAAATTAAGAAATAAAAAGAAAAGTAAATAACAAAACTGGAAATTAAAAAATAAAAAGAAAATTAAAAAATAATTGAAGACATTTTCGCATTTTTTTTGTTAAAAGAAATCGAATCTCTCTTTGATAGTACAATTTTTTTATCTCTTCTTTCTGTTTTTTATTCTCCTCTTTTTTTTATTTTAACCCGAACAAAGTTATTGACAGGTCACCGTAAACTAAAATACAATCTATATGAAATTGGATTAAATAACTTTGAGTTACATAGCAGAACACGTATTATAGACAATAATAAATATGCTAGAGACACACCTTCTGAAGATTTTAAATTACCCACGGTATCTCCCTCTTTAAAAAAAAACCTCAAGCTTTTTGAAAGCTTAATCATGATTTCAGATGGTTTTGAACCTTTAATACTGTAACACAATGTGCCACAGACCCAAATATAGCCCATACAGACGACAAAATCGCTTTAGCTGTAAACTTTATGTATATATAGTTAATATACCAGTTTATAAATTTTTTTGTAATACAACAAATTTAAAAACAATATAATGAATACAGTTAAAATACTACTAGAATTAGAATACTAGAAATTCGATTGTAACCTAACCCATACTACTCCGAAAACATACCGAACCAACTGGATGCAGAATGAGAATCTGTAGCTCCACAAGTCAAGCTCAAATTAAAACTACAGGTTCAATTAAATAATTTAATAGTCTAGAACTTTTTGCAAACTAATAAGTATTAATTAGTACGAAAGTCCCTCTGGGATTAACCACCATCATCTCCAATCCACTTTCGTTTTCTAAAAAATTCTTCTCCCCTTTCACACTTCATTTTACCAAACCAATGTATATCCTAACCCATCGTTATTCATTTCATGTTATCTGCGTATAGATGCCCATGGGTTACCACAAGGACAACAACGCATAAGAGATCTGTTTAAGTTGTAGCACATATATAATATAACGTAAAACCATAGTATTACGTATATTGCTAATAGGCATACGTAATATATACAGCTCAGTTCTGAACTAGAAGTGCTAAAATAATTATTATATATTATATTCTCATTATCACATATGCATAATATCTCCCAACAAATACGTATATATGTCATAATCGACCACTTTTTAATTAACATTAAATAATGTTACGGTCAAAAAATGATTTCGTTTTTTTTATAAAAAAAATTTAATCTCTTATTTTGTCAAAAAAAAAAAAATTATTTTACATAATTTTTAAAAAATAAAATTTCTGATAACATTTAGAATTTGAGCTTAACCAATTTATTTTGATTGGCGAGATTAAATTATAAAGAAAAAATATAAATAAATTTATTTGTGACCAAACATGTGTACCACATAAAATAGCTTCCCTCTTGTGTATTGTGTGTCTTTCTTTTGTTTTTGCCTTGACAACGACCTTCAAACGTTGAATAATCTTGTCCAATTTGACATTTGTGTGTGACGTATACCACAGACCACAGACATAACATACACTTCAACGCCCCGGCGCACCCGTACACATTTACGATATCGTTGATTGATTCTTTTGTATTGCTTCACTCACCATATGGTATTTCATCCTTTCCTTAAATACCGGCAATTATAGTAATGTCTTAAGCATTTATTGTACTGATAATACTCATTAATTATTATTTATTGGACAGATAATATCACGTGTATTATTAAGTTTGCAGAACATTGTGTGTGTGTGATTACAGGTGCTTATCGGGAATATGTACGAGTGTTTTCTCTATGTTGGATATCAATTGAGGTTTTATACGGATGAACAAACCCTTAGAAAATGTAATGCTTTAGAAGCTATTAGATATTAAGGGTTTTTTGGAATGAATAACCCCATTGGTGTTCAGTGAATTTTTACATAAATATTGTTTTTATGAAAATCTTATATAAATTATACTTAAAAGTTTATCCACAAACCGAATATCTGAATATCCCTATTTAAAATAAATTAAAATTAATTACTTTAACAACAAAAATTTTACTGCACATTTTTCTTTGTGCTCAAATCTCCAGTTTTTGAAACTTTGTCATTGATACTCTTCATATAACCATATAATAGTTACAATATCGTGCCTTCAGTATATTGTTTGTTGATATCTGCACTAGTTAAGGTCAACTTTGGACTAACCATATAACTATTTCAGATAGTATCAAATATCGTAAATCTAGCTTACATTCAGTCTGAACAGTATCGGAGAAGAGTTATTTTATTGACATGCACTTAATATATTTAAGTAATACTTTAGATAAAAATAATGAATTAATTTTTTAAGCAAAAGAGAATAATTATTACATTACTATTACATTACATTAGTATCAGAAACTTACGGGACTAACAGAATTTCATAACAATGACTTATTCGATAATGTATTTCAAAAAAAAAAAAAGCAAATCTCCAGACGCTACATTAATTGTCATGGGGTATCCGATACTTCTTGGATTTAACGTTTATTAAAAATGAAAATTTTGTACACGGATTTGTATGTATATGGTATTAAAAAAAAAAGCGTTTTCAAAAAAAAAAATCCTAACAGTTTTTTTTATTGTTTTAAATACCCATGTTCCTCTATATACGGCAACCCTTTTGACCCATTATCAATAGGCCTAAGTGGATTCCCTAGGGATTCCCTTGCTATAAGTGCTTCAGACAAACAATAAATCTTGGCAAATGACAAGATATTGTTGTAACCCGCTAGGATCTAGATCGCTGATATCGTGAAACCCATGATGAAGATGATCATGGGTCATGGGTGAGAATGTGAATAAGTAATGGTTGAATTGTCTTTTCTCATTCATAATAGATATATGTCCAAATAATGTGTTATTTAAGTATTTTTTTAAATATAATTAAATTTAATATAGTGATTTTAACTTTAAAATTAAATTTAATATAATAAAATTTAATTATTAATAAATAAAATTTTTTTAATTTTTTTTTTAGTTCTAATTGTGAAAACAATATGCCAATCAAGTCAATCTTAGCTCGTCAAATCTTCGATTCTCGTGGTAATCCCACAGTTGAAGTAGATCTAACCACCGAGTTGGGTCTTTTCCGTGCTGCCGTACCATCTGGTGCATCAACAGGCGTCCATGAAGCCTTGGAATTGCGTGACAATGAGAAGAACAACTATCATGGCAAGGGTGTACGCAAAGCTGTTGAACATATCAACAACACACTTGCACCTGAATTGTTGAAGGCCAACTTGGAAGTCACCGACCAAGAGGGTATTGATAATTTCATGATCAAACTCGATGGCACTGAGAACAAGTCCAAATTCGGCGCTAACGCTATCTTGGGTATTTCATTGGCTGTCTGCAAAGCTGGTGCCGCTAAGAAGAACGTACCATTGTACAAGCATATTGCTGATTTGGCTGGCAATAAGGATATTATTTTGCCTGTACCAGCCTTCAATGTAATCAACGGTGGTAGCCATGCTGGTAACAAGTTGGCCATGCAGGAATTCATGATTTTGCCAACTGGCGCATCAAGCTTCACTGAAGCCATGAAAATTGGTTCTGAAGTCTATCATCACTTGAAGAAAGTTATTAAGGATAAATTCGGTTTGGATGCTACTGCTGTCGGTGATGAAGGTGGTTTCGCACCCAACATCCAATCTAATAAGGAAGCCTTGTGCCTTATTCAAGATGCTATTGCTAAAGGTGGTTTCACTGGCAAGGTAATATAATTAGTGGCTTTAATAATTTTGATTTTTATTTCATATAAATTAATTTATTTTATTGCTTAGGTTGAAATTGGTATGGATGTAGCTGCTTCTGAATTCCATAAAGATGGTGCTTACGATTTGGATTTCAAGAATCCCAACAGCGACAAATCACAATGGCTCTCTCCCGAAAAATTGACCAACTTATATCAGGAATTCGTTAAGGACTTCCCAATTGTTTCCATTGAGGATCCCTTCGATCAAGATCATTGGGATGCCTGGACCAATATGACTGCCAATACACCCATACAAATTGTTGGTGATGATTTGACTGTTACCAATCCCAAACGTATTGCAACTGCTGTTGAGAAGAAAGCTTGCAATTGTCTTTTGTTGAAAGTCAACCAAATTGGTACCGTTACTGAATCCATCAAGGCACATTTGCTTGCCAAGAGCAACGGCTGGGGCACTATGGTCTCCCATCGTTCTGGTGAAACTGAAGATACTTTCATTGCTGATTTGGTTGTTGGTTTGTCAACTGGCCAAATTAAGACTGGCGCCCCATGCCGTTCAGAGCGTTTGGCCAAATACAATCAAATCCTTCGCATCGAAGAGGAATTAGGTGCCGGTGCCAAATATGCTGGCAAATCTTTCAGAAAACCACAATAAGCAGTGCAAACCATCTTGCATCTTGTATCTAGCTTATGCACAACAGAAGTGGACATACCAAGAACACTCACAGTCTTATCTGTTATTTAATTCCAGCTATAAAAATCATTGAATTCTTTTTTTATAATTATTTTTAATTTAAATTATTTTCGCAAATCTATTTTGTGAGTAGCACAAAATTAAAAATTATAAGACACACACAAACACAAATAAATTGATTTTAAACCATTCAATTTGTTATCGCTTCAAACGTTCTATTTAAACATTATAATTAATTAATTAAAGGAAGACATTAAATTATTGAAATCTTATTAATTACTCATTAAAGTATATCAAGGCGTAGTTGTTGTAAACCTAATCAGATACACAAACGTTAATTGTTAGAGTTAAGTGCAAACTGCGTCGTTGCAGATTGCAAATACTGTTGACAGATTTTCAATTTAATATAATAATGTTACTTGATGTATTTAAAAACTAAAATAAAACTTAAAACAAAAACAATAATATTTAGCCTTATTTGTTAAATTTGGTGGTAGTTTTATTTTAAAAGTAAGTATTAATTTATTGTTTATATATATACGAAATTATTAGCATTGATATATGTTTGGCTATAGCTATAAATATTAAAAACAAAATTTTTTTTTCTTAATAAAGTTTTTAAATTTGAATTTTAGTATTTTTTATCTATTTGTTTTTAATATTTTTTTTATATATTTATTTTTAATATTTTTTTTATATTTATTTTTAATATTTTTTTTATCTATTTATTTTAATATTTTTTTTATATATTTATTTTTAATATTTTTTTTATATATTTATTTTAATATTTTTTTATATATTTATTTTTAATATTTTTTTTATATATTTATTTTTATTTTTTTTATATATTTATTTTTAATATTTTTTTATATATTTATTTTTAATATTTTTTTATATATTTATTTTTAATATTTTTTTTGTAATTTAATAATAATTTTGTTTTTTTTGTTTGTTTTTTATTATATTTTTTTTGTATACTTATTTTTAATATTTTTTTTTTTGTATATTTATTTTTAATATTTTTTTTTGTATACTTATTTTTAATTTTTTTTTTATATATTTATTTTTAAAATTTTTTTTATTTCATATATTTATTTTTAATATATTTTATTTTGTATATTTATTTTTAATATTTTTTTTTTGTGTATTTATTTTTAATATTTTTTTATATATTTATTTTTAAATTTTTTTTCTTTCATATATTTATTTTTAATACTTTTTTTTTGTATACTTATTTTTAATATTTTTTTTTTTTGTATATTTATTTTTAAAATTTTTTTTTAGAACACATATTACTTCAAATAAATTGTACGAGTAAAGTTTGTGTAGCATTTTCAAATTTTTACAGGGATATTACGCTCCTTCAGTTGCTCTCATTTACCCGAAAATTTGCTGGTGGAACGCACTTGTGTATACACAGTGTTATGCAAAGTTACTACGAGTAGCTCATGGAACAGACCTAATATATATTCCATGTAGAATATCATCTGTCTGGAGTTCACCATTTCATTCATTTACTGCTATGCGGTGAGCTGGAAGGTGTTTTTCTATTTAGTTTTGTAAAGATTTTTGAGAACGATTTCGATGACGAAAGTAATAATATGAAAAATATTAACTAAACTTCATAATTAATTCTACAATAATAACAAAATTGTTTATGATTTTTTAATTTTTTATTTTATTTTGATTTTTTTTTATATATTATGATATACATAACAAACATCAATAAATGTTTACATGGATTTTACTGAACATAGAATATCAATTTGTAATTTGTTCACTAATTTATTAAACAACTATTTGTCTGCAGAAAAGACAATTAAATAAATATTTTTTATCCAAAGATAAAAGCTTTTAGTTTTTGTTTTTTATTTTTTATAAATTAAGCGTTTAAAAGTAATTTAAAACAATAAATAAGTTTAAGTTTTAAAACTGCAACTACTGCAGTTTGACGTTAAAATTAATTTTTAAGGCACAGTATTTGTTGCAATAGCGATAGGCCAGGTAGTCGGACCCTTCAATACAATTTCCTCCAAATATTGTTTAATTTTAATAAATCGACGCTTAAATTCTAAACCACAGCCTTTAGACAATCGGAAATCTATTAAAATTTTACCATCCATTTCAATAATATGCGCTTTAAATACTAAACGCAATTTACGACGATCAATTGTCGCTATAGTCACAAAGCTATCATCAGACAATTTCCATGTATAACCCAAACGTTCGATCACAGCCGATAGTTGCTTCACAGTTTCATCTCGGCGTGTTGTGACAAAGAAACGTGTCATACGACGTACCAAACGTTGGAATGCATTTTGCGAGACTGTTTGTGTTTGATTCATTTGTGTGCATAGCAAGAGATCATCCAACAGAGCAGGTTGCGAGAAGGAAAATCCGAGACGAGCTTCTTTTGCGAATGTGTTATTATTATCACTGCCATTTTCCATTTTGGGTGCGTCATCGAAATCTGGCTTTATTATTGGCATCGGTTGAGAACAATAGTTACGTGTAATCGAATCATCCAGATTTTGACTACTCAAACGGCGATTACTGAAATGTTGACGCATACGTTTGGCTTTTGGAGAGCGTATTTCAAGTGCAGCAGTTGAATCAACGAGATCATGTGAACGATCTATATTAAAAAAATAATAAAAAAATTTTAATTTATTATATATATATTATTTCAATTTTACTATAAACCATATAAATAATAAATATAAAATTTATTTAAATAAATGAAATACGTAAATATGTCTTAATTATATTTTTAAATTGTACTAGATATGTTATAAATTTTGATAATATCGTAATTACGTATATATTATTGATTCCTTTTTGGGTTAGATTACCATTCGTGTTAGAGCATGGGGTAAAAATTACATATATATATATATATACATAGATAATTTATCCATATATTTATGATAATATAAACTTTTAATTACATATTTATTTTAGTAGATATATAGACGTTTAAGTAAATAAATTTTTTTCATTTTAGTATATTTTTTTATTCTTTTAAACTATGTTAACAATTTTATTAAACACTATAACTTTTTAACTTCAATTCTGATTTGTAGTAAATAAATTTTACGTTGTATTATATATATAAAAGGTTATCCAATCCAATTCGCGTTCGTGATTTGGCAGCACTGCTTTACTAGCATTGTCATCCAAAAATTATGTTTGATGTTTAAAATTATATAATATGTACCGTTTAGCAACCGCTGAACGTGTTAAAAGTATATAAACTTAATACAGAAATGATTTTCTTTTTAGTAGACACATTTCATAATAAATTTTCTTTTAAGGTGAGGCTTATTTAACGCTTCTTGGATATGTCAGGACTTTGTAAGTAAGATAGTGAAAATCCACAAAATTATATATATGTACCATTTAGCAACCGCTGAACGTGTTAAAAGTATACACAGTGAAAATCCACAAGTAACTATCAATAGACCATTGCTTTCACTAAAAGCTATCGAATTATATAGCATTTAGTCTGCAGATGTGATAGGCAAATACCACTTTAAAAATTACGCGATAGCAATACTCATAAGATAATTATAGGTTATTATGGCAGTTATGTGCCAAGAAATCATCGATGTTGCCATGGGATCGTCGATGGAGGACATTTAAATATATTGAAATAAAAATTTGCTAGACATAAGTGTGTTTTATTCAAGTTTACTTTCAGAAACATAAAAAAGATAACTCTGTATATTAAGAAATCAATTGAAATGAAGGAATTTATTGATTTTTAATTAAATATATATTTTCGTTTTTAATTTTTTTACATAATTTTTCTTTTTTTTAAATACTCATATTAACTCAGCGAGTATTTATTGTATATATGTAATTAAACTCTGTATTTGTTAATATTTATTTACAATATATTTTTTTATACTATATTTTTATTTTATTTTTAATTGTTATAATTTTTAAAAGAACCGCATTTATTAACATTATTTTAAGAGGGTAAATTTATCACTACATATTTTTTTTTTTTTGAATTAAGCATCAATAAACGACACAATATTTTGCAGTAGAATAAGAGTTTCATACAATTTTAATCACTTCCTCATATCAAATTTTGTTTATTTTTAGGTTATGCGTTCCCCATAAACACATATCTAATATGTGATTTTTTATATAATATTTTTTATTGATATATTTTTTGATTTATATTGATGATATATTGATTTTCGCAATCAACTTCATAGTTAAGCCCCTTGTGTATATATTTTGATAGCTGATATAACAAGATTTGATAGCGAAAAAGTTTATTTGATTTAGACCAACCAAGTTTCTAAAAATACCTATGCTTCAATTTTGAAGAAGCACTCTGTTCTGGAAATTTATTAATTGATACTAACTGTCAAATAATAACTTATGAGATCACTGAGTGATAAAATTTATAAAATAAAATCAATTATGATCAGATAGTAAGACACCTCTTGATTTATTCTCAAAAGTCGATTTTTGGATCTAATAAGTCTTACAGAAAAAAGTTAGTTTTCGAATAATCAATTGAATATGTATGAAAGCTGGTGAGCTGGTGATTCAAAGTTTCGAACTCGAGTAGTTCGAGTTCGTTTGGATCAAATAGTTTAATGTTCGAAAATATTGAAACTGTTCGAAAAGGTAATTGTTTCGAAGACCAAATTTGCTTTATATTTAATTTGATTTTCATTTCGTATTACCCAAATGCGTACAACAGAAAATTAATTATTTGTAAGATCTTTGTATAATAATAATTTGTATTTATATATAAACTTATATGATGGCTTCATTTACCAGTGCTAATAATAAACGTTTCTGAAATACTTTACATCCGGTCAATTCACTTTCTATGATATCAGAAAACTTAAATTTTATGACAAAAGCTGGAACAGCTTTTAGTGTTTGGGTATTATTAAATATTAGCTGCATTAGCTATGAATGCAGCCCGATCTAAATGGTGTTTGAGTAAGTTAAGCATAATGTTGAGTAAATATATGTAAATATACTCATCTACCACCATAATAATGTGGTGGTTTAGATGGGTGTATGCGGGACGCCGGTTGGACGGGACTTTTTAAGACTTGGGGGCTAAGATTTACTCAACTATTACTCAATTATTATTACACTGTTGGTTTTTGTTAAATAAAAAATTTTTTATTATGTTTCAGTATAAAAATATAATTTTAATATCTCGTCAATTATAAATGAGCTTTAATTTTAAATGATTTCAAATTTTTCTTTTTATTTATTTTATATATAAATATTTTTATATACATTTTTTTGATATAAAATTTAAAATTAATTAATTAAAATAAAATGAACTTAAATAAATGCAAATATAAAGCAAAACCATTTGGTTTTTGGTGATAAAGCTGTATGGATTTCAATAAACCACCATACAGCTAAAATCACCAAAGACAAAATAATATGCAAAATAATAAGTTAAATCAAAATAAAATATAACACAAATAAATCTAAATAAATACGAAAATAGCAATAAATTGAAAAACACAGAAGAAAACAGTGTGGCGGCGTGTAAAATTATAAAATAAATATTTAAGATGATGTCAAATGTATGATATATGAATGAAGGAAGTATATAGGAAATGCATTACTCATTTAATTTGGACGCATAATTTTTTAGTATGATTTTTTTGTTATGTAGATTTTTGTCACATTTAATGAATTTCTTTCATTTTTTTAATTTTTGCTGTTTTGTTACACATATATCAATTAGATAATTAGAGATACATAGATTAAGATGAATGTTAGTGAACTAATACAGCATCTTCAATGCTTTGGTAATCTAGCTTTATGAAGTAAGATAGTCTATCATACAGCTAAAGCGCCAAAGCGATGAAAATCCGCAGTTACAGAAGAAAAAACATAAAACAAATATTTATATATATATATATGTATATATATATTTATTATATCAATACATATATTTTATCGATATATATGAATTTATATATATATGTATTTGATTTGCAGTGACTAGTAAAACAATTCACACACAAGAAGATTTTGACACGGTTAACAAATCGTAAATGAGTTTTTTTTTTATATATATTTTAATGTTATATATACCGTCATATACCATATACCTTTTCTTATTATAGCTTATATGTTAATTCTATAAGGTTTATACAATTACAAACAGTAAATGGTTAAATGATAAATAAAACAACAAAATTAACATATACTACCAAATGCCAAAACCATATTAATAATTATTAAAAATTAATTGTACATCACAAACAATATATTGAACGATTTATTTAAAATTTTGAAAACGATATATTTAGTATATTTTTTTATTTAACAATATAAAAAAGGTAAGTTATAAAATAAAATTTTTTTTATTATTTCCACACATTGAAATATTGATAATTCTTAACCGAGCTGGAAACTCGTTGTCAGAATTATGTTTCTAAATGAAATGGATGAAGAATAGAATCGAAAATCACAGAGGCTATTTAAAATGCGAAGAAATGATATCATAATCTTTATAGGTATCAGCGGAGAGTACTGTCTAATGTTGTTGCTGTTGTTACTTTCAATGTCCTGTAGAAACATGAAAGTATTTTATGACAAAATCATATGAGAGGTTGGGGTTTATGGCAAGGGAAGAGGAGTCAAAGATTATGTGAAATGTTGAAGGAATGAAGTTGTTGGTATGAATTTAAATTAGTCTAGATTAAGGCGGAAATTGTCTAGTAGACAGACACGCCGCAACAATGTATATCATATCTGATAAACACTGACAAAAGAGCAGTAATAAAAAAAAAAAATAAGAAAAATAAAAGAAATGGACAACTTTATGTTATAAGTGACTACGAAATCTCTACGAAGTCTACTACAATTTATTATATATATAAAATTGTTTGACGCTGAATGTTATATGGGTCTTACTAGACCCATGACGATTAATGATCAAATTAACCTCTGTAGTACATGTCATGTAATTGTGTACAGATCTAGTGAAAAAATAGATCTATAAATGTTTTTTTTATTTATAATATAATATATAATATTTTTCTAGTAATTCGATTATATAAATTCATACTTTTCCTTCTATAAAATTTTCAAGAATTTCTTTAGAATTTTTTATTAAGTTAAAATGTGACTAAAATGAGTATACAAATTCATATCCTATTCTCTCCCTCTGCAACTTTTCTATATTATTATTTGGTAATTTTATCTTGGTATTTTTGTCATGCCCATCTTAACGATGTTATGGAAAATTGAGGGTTTGTCAAAAATAAATTCATTAGTTTTTTTGTCTCAACTATTAGTATAAGCAAGAGTATATTGGTTTCAGAAGTGACTGAATCTGTTGAAATTTCTCGTACAAACAAGGTCACAATATATATATATATATATTGTATATTTCTATTTATATCAAATTTTATAATTATTATTTCTTTTTTTTTTTTCTATTTTTAAGAAATTAGCATTAAAAAATAAAATTCAAATAAAAAATACATTATGTAAAAAAAAAAATTAAAAAATTTATATAAAAAATAAAAGATATTTATCTAAAAAATATTGTAATAATTTTAAAAAAAAATTATAAAAAATACAAAAGGGTTTATAAAAAAAATTATAAAAAATACAAAAAAGTTCATAAAAAAAATTATAAAATATACAGAAGAGTTTATAAAAACAATAAATAAAATGTAATAAATAAAAAGTAATAAAAAAATTTAAATAAATTAACTAACATCTGTCTTTGCTATTTGAATCCTTCTAAAGTTAAAAAAAAAAAAGTTCTTTGTCGTCATAAGAAGCGTAGTTTTCGGCAAAAATAATAAACTGTAATTAAAAAATAAAGAAAAAGTAATAAAGAAAAGATAATTTGTAACAAACAAAAAAAAACAAAATTTATTAGAAATATACAAAATATCATTTGTAAGAAAAAATAAAAAATTTAAAAAAAAATTATAAATTTAAGGTAAAAATGTAATAAAGTTTTTTAAAAAAAATATAAATTAAAAAAGAGTAAATTTAAGTTTAAAAATATAAAATTAATCAAATTTTATTTTTAAAAAGTCAAACTAAAGTAAAAAAAATTATAAATTTTAAACAAAAAAAAAAAAATATAAACTAAATGTAAACAAAAAACAATTATTGATAAAATTAAAAAATTTAATATTTGAAAATTAAAACAAGTTTGATATATAAAAAGAACAAATTAAAAAAAATAAAAACAAAAACAAATTTAAAAAAAAAAGAATTTTTTAAAAAAAGAACAAATTAAAAAAAAATAAAAACTATAAAAATAAAACAAATTAAAAAAAAATAAAAACTATAAAAATAAAACAAATTAAAAAAAAATAAAAACTATAAAATTAAAACAAATTAAAAAAAATAAAAACTATAAAAATAAAACAAATAAAATAAAAAAAAACAACAAATTCAAATTTAAAAAAAAAAAATATTTTTAACAAAGAAATGAATATAATTCAAAAAAATAAATTCAAGTTAAAACAATAATAAATTAAAATAAAAAAATTAAATAGAAAAAAATTGTAGAACTTATATTTTCAATAATAAATTTATTAAAAAACAAAACAAGAACTATTAAACGCTTGAAAAATTCTTCAATTAAGCATTTCATAATACTTAATTTGCAAACAATACGACATTGTAAACATTTTCTTGACATGGATTTCAATATTTTGTTTATTTACAATAATAAAATACTTTATGAAGAATGTACGAGGAGGATTAGTAAATGAAATTAAATTGATATATTTTGAAAATACGGCTGATTTTATTCACTTTTTGTTAATTATAATAATTATAAACATTTTGTATATAATAACATTCAATATTTTGAATATATTATTTTTCCATACCATTGCAACAAACTAGAAATTATTTAAATTAACAAAAAAAAAAATAAATTAAATAAAGAAATTACAATTTTCAAACTACAGATAGTCAAGCACGGATATGTGATATGTTAGTTAGTTAATGTCTATTTTAAATTACGAACTACTGCTACTAAACTGAACAAATGTAATGAAATGAGAACAAACAAATTATTCGAATTAATGAAAACATAATGCATATTGTTGGCAAGATTTTTGAGATGATTCATGCAGTTGAAACCATATTTCCCATACTTTGCTATTATGTTAATTTTGTTTCTTGATATCTCGGCTTCATCGATTTTCACTTTTGCTGAGATAAACAGAAAAAAACAGAAATAAAAATCAGTAAATTTAAAAAACAAAAATAAATAATTGTAATATAATTTTTAATGAAATGTTAAGGGATGAAATATAAATATAAATGCTAAAGAAAAAGATACAATATGAAAAAGTCTGTAATATATTTTGTAATAAAATCACATTTGCGTATATATAAAATATAAAATAATATAAAAGAGAAAAAGAGTCCATATAAAAAGAAGCCATATATCCAATCCAAGATATTTTTAAATTAACTAAGATATACACAAAGAGCGAGCCATTAACATAGTGAAATATAAATATGTAAGAGAAACAAGCTTCTACTATATACATACATTAGATACGATAGCGAGGCTTTATATTATTATTTATTATATACAAATTTAAGTTATGTTAAAGTTTCCAAGCAATAATTACTGCTAAGTTAAAAAAAGTTTAGAAAAATGTAAAACAAGATTGTTGTTATTAATAAAAAGTAATATTTGAACTAGTACTGATAGTTTCCTTATTTTTTATTACTAAATTTACCTTGCATGAATTACAGATATCCTAGTCTTCCAATGAATGCCAGGGAAAGGCATTCCTGTGAATAGCTGAAAAATATTTATGGAGGTACAAAATGAATCTCAAAATATCTTAAAACTATTGAGAGTCACTAAGTACCTGTATAAATATTTCAGCCCCTTAATAAAATCATAGGTAAAAAAAATTTCACATTTTGTTTACCTATAAACATATAACATTTATAAATATTGAAATATATGTATAATACTTAACTAACAGGGAATTACTAAATAATAATTAAATTATTTTTTATAATTGTTTCGTTATTTAAAATATATATAGTTTATTCGTTGTTGTTTTTTGTGTATTGTATTTTACATTAGGCATTATTATCAACATTATTTATTATTATAAATATTATTCATTAGGTTTTATAAATATGATTCATTATTACTTATATTCTTCATTATTATCAATATCATTCATTATTATAAATTATTATAAATATTACTCATTATTATAAATTATTATAAATATTACTCATTATTATCAATTATCAAAAATAAAGTGTTATTATTTCATAAGAATTTTAGAATAAAAATCTATAATTACTATTGCTTCCTTATTTTCATTATTTCTTGTGTTAGAAATATATTATTATTATCAAATAGTATTTACTATATTTTTCAGTTATTTGCCCTAATTATTTTTAATATTTAATATATGATATATGAACATATATGTATATTCTATATAAAAAAACATCCTTATTTACTTATTTCATTTTTTTTGTTAATAATTTTAAATTATAATGCAATAACATTAAAAAATATTAGCAATTATAATGTTATTATATATTACATAAATAACTATTTATATATATTAAGCAAATATTACATAAATTAATTGTATTAATATATTTTAAGATTTTTTATCAAATCTTAAAATAATAATAATAAAAAATTAATAAAAAAAATTAATAAAAATTTTAATTTCATTTTTTTTTTAATTTTATTTTTATTCACTATTTAAATAAATAATATATAACAAAAAATTATTACTGTATGAGTTATTCGAATTTAACATAATTTAATAAATATGTACACATAATATAATAACTATTACAAATTAATTGTTTAATTTAATAATTACTAATTTAATAATTACTAAATTTTTTCTTATTATTTTTTATCAATTAATTTTATTCCGTTTGCATATTCATATTTTATTTTTTGTTGTTTTTAAAGTTTTTATTCAATTTATATTAATTAAATAAAAAATAAAAACAATTTTAATTTTTTTATTTATTATATTTTTTATGTTAAATATTTTTACTTTTTTATAATTTCTTATTATATTTATTTTTATTTTAGCATTTTTATTACTACATTTTATCATATAATTGCTAGTTTATATTTTTTTAATTAATTATTCTTTTCTTTAATTTTTTATCAATTATTACTTTTTTCTGTTATAATTTTTTTTTATCTATTAAAATTTTTTATTTATTATTAATTTTTTATATATCACTGTTTTTTATTTTTCATTATATACATTATTTTCTTATGTTAAGTATTTTTCTTTGTTAACGTTTTTTTTATTCATTAATTTTTTATCATTTTTAAAAAATTATACAAATAATATTTATAATATATATATATATATATATTTTATAAAATAATATATTATTAAGAACCTTACCTGCACCAGCGCCATTTTCGAACTTAGTGGTGCACCACTTACTCTTCAAAATTTTATCAAGTGTTAAACGATTTCCCGGATTCATTGCTAGTATTTTACGAAGCAAAGATAGAGATAATGCATCACACTTAGACCACGGAGTACGAGTTGACCATTGGTCACTTTCTTTCCATGCAATAAACTCAGGACATGGTGCTGAAGGCTGATCCCAAGGTAATTCTGAAAATTTAATAACAATTAAAATAATAAGTCTTTAATTCAAATAACTGAGGTTTAATAAAATTCAACTATTGTAAATTTTTTAAAAGAATTATACTTATAATAAAACTTATATTATAAAACTATTATAAACGTAAACGTATTTATAATAGATATAATTTGGCTTTCTAAAAATTTGTGACATATTTTGGTGTTTTGAAAATGTTGGTGATAAAACTTAATTATTAGCAGCTATATACATATATAATGTATAGAAAAATTTATTCAAACAGTTATCAATATCTTTTCAAAAATTAATATCTTTAAGGTAAGAACAATATATCACATAATACATAATATATGTAAAATATACGATATATAAAAAACATTATATATATTTTATATATAAGTATAAAATATACTACATATAATATATACTATATATAAAAGAGGAAATAAAATATACAGAATTAAATAACATGTTGATTCGAATAAAACAATGAAGAAAACCAAATATAGAATAATATCGAATCTGGAATCGAATTATGTATGAAACAATATAAAATATAGCTTACAGTAAAATATATAATTAAAATATAGAATATATATATAAAATATATATAATTAATATATAGAAGAAAGTAAAATTTAGAATTTAATAAAATATTGAATAATGTAATATATACATCAAAATAATATATAAATAATAATTTGTGTAAGTACAGTTACAAACTTATTTAAAAACGTTATAAAAGCTTATTAAATTTTAAAATTTATATATATATATATATATATAAATAATTATTAATATAACAAGTAAACCCATTCAAAAAATCATTCATATTTAAAAATATTAGTATTACTGACGAATAAGAAAAACGAATAAGTAAAATATGAAATACAAATGCAAATATAAACCTTATGGAAAAAATATACACAATAAAAATAAAACAGAAAAAAAAGGAGAACAAAAAAATTAAAAAAACTAAATATATATAGTAAATAAGCAGATTTTCGTCACTAGATGGTATTGATACCGACATATTTATCGGGCAACACTTATGCGATTATAACAATCTAACATGAGTTTCAAAGGCTCAATTTTTTGTTTGACGGCAGTTGAAATAAATATATATACAATAAAATCAGGAAATTAAAAAAAAATACATAAATATAATAAAATCAAAAAATTGAACAAAAATATATATATACAATAAAATAAGAAATTAATAAAATTTTTAACAAATTAAAACTATATTAATATAATAAAAATTATGTGCAGCAAGCAATTTAAGCTGGAGCTTTGGTATAAAAGCTTTAGATGATAGCAATTAAACAATCTACAGCTAGAATACCAAAGACTCAGCAAAAATGATTTGGTGATGTGTTAATGAAATATGCCATATAATATATACAATTGTGCTTATTAATAATAAAAAAATTATTAAAAATAAATTAATAAAACAAAATAATTAAAAAAAAATTAATAAAAATAAATTTTAAACATATAAGTGGAAATGTTTTAACAAGCAAGATAAAAAGTAGAACATATTAAATAAACATATATTGTTATTAAATATTTAATATAAAAAATAAATTATATATTTGTAAGTAATATGCATTATGATATAATATGAGAATGATATTTGTAAATAGTTATATTATTAGTAAGAGTTATAGTTTGTATATATATTTTAGAAAATTATTAAAATAATGAATATTATAAATATATAAATAAAATATAAATTATATTACAATGTGAGTGCTTACGAAAAAAAAAAAAATGGAATAATACTGTTGTTTTAATTATGTACAATATAATCTTTATATATAGAATGTATCAAAATAATCGCATAAAATTCGAAACAAAAATAAATTTATTAATCATATATATATATATATATAAATTGTACATGTATTTTAAAAAATAATATAAATAAATATTAAACAACATCAAAAATAACGTAAGATAGTCCAAGAATATCATAAAGAATAATCACAGAATATAACATTTATGAAATTGAAAATATTTGGTTAGAAGTAATACCTAACTCTATTAGAAGCTATGGAACATTAATAATGTATATATTTAAAATATATATTATATATAAATATGTATTAAATAAAAATATATAATACATAATAATATATAATAGTGTATAATATATAATAATATATAATACAAAACAATATATAATAATATATAATATAATAATATATAATATAATAATATATAATATAATAATATATAATATAATAATATATAATATAATAATATATAATATAATAATAACTATAAAACTATAATAACTATAAAACTTGAACTTACCACCAGCTAACATAGTAACTAAAATAATCCCACACGACCAGACGTCAGCAGGTTGTGCATGATAGGGACGAACCAGAACTTCAGGTGCAACATAAGGTAATGTACCGCAACGTTTATCCAATAAACGCTCCTTACCTCGGGACCTTAACATATGTACAAAAAATATTAATTCTTTAATATTCTCAATTAAACAATCACTTAATCATTACATACCGAAACATAGTGGCCATTCCAAAATCCGAAATTTTGATATTATCATTCTCATCCAAAAGTACATTTTCAGGCTTGAGATCACGATGAGCGATGCCACGTTGATGTAGGTACGACAAACCTGAAAGAAGTTGTAGGAAGTATCGCTGTGCGTCATGGTGTGCCATCCCAACATCAGGTTCTGAAAATAGTAATAAAATAAATTTGAGTTTTATTAAATTTTTACTTCTAAATTAATTAAATATAATATCACATTTCGATACTGCTTGAAAAAATATTTTTTTTTTTCGTTTTATTAAAAATAAAGAAATTATTTTATAATTTTTTGGCTAACTTATTCATGAATATATATTAATGTGGTTAGCTAACTAATTCACAAAGAATGAACAAAAAAAATCGGATGTAAATAAATCACAATTATGCACATAAAGGAAAGTTAAAAAAAGATTAATTCTAATACCGCAATAAACAGATGAAATAACGACAACTACAGCACTATTTGGATGAACTAATTGTTGGTGTATACATCATAATGATGTTAAAAGCGTTTTCACACACCACATCCATGCAATCAGGCCTTTAAATGTAACTAGATTTATGAATTTTAAGGCTACTTGTATTTGATTCAAGCTAATTGGATTAAGCGTCTTTAAGACAATAAGTGGTTTTTCAAGAAAGTTCTTCTTCGGGCACTTTTCTTTGACAACCCGTATATCTCGGTTAGCTAATAGACTTCGGAAAGCCAGATATGCCTTCGCTAATCTCAAAAATATTTGTGGTTAAACAAACTTGCATTTAAAAACTAAAATTACGATATTCGGTGCTTGCGTCAAAAATGTGTTGATATATGGAGGAACTGAATCATGGTTTGTTACGGCCGCTATCTCACAAAAACTGCAAACATACGTTAACAGATGCCTTCGCCAGACCCTAAACATTTGGTGACCGAGAACCATATGTAATAAACCGGTTATGAGAACTTACAAATCAACCGACTCAAAAGCAGATAATGAAGCGGAAATATGGCTGGCTGGGATATAGCCTGCGTAAACCAGTAAGTGAAAATGCACACTCAGCATTAGAATGGAAACCACAAGGTAGAAGGAATCGTGGATGGCCAAAAAGTACATGGAGAAGATCGATAAACAGGGAAACTAATTAATCATTCAGCGAGCTTGGAGCATTTGCGCGTAATAGGGGTGTCTGGAAAGCATATGTGAATAGACTAAGTTCTTGAATTGTAATTGTAATTTATAAAACATGTCATAATAATAATAATACGTATTAACATGGATAATATAATGTTAACTTTAGGTTTAAAAAATAGTCATAAAAATAAAGAATTTAGAAGAAAAAAAATAAGTTTGTTTCTTCTGAATGTATTTACAAAGATAATAATAATAATTAATAGAAAAAGAAAAAACCAAGTTATTCTAAAACAGTTTTTTTTAAGTAATAAAATATCCCTGAGTGTATAACTACTTGGAAAAACAGTCGATAAAAAAGTGATGGCTACCATTTAAGCCTAATTATGAAATTCGATATCTTATAAAAATATTCTCACGTTCACTATTAGAATAAAAATTTTGATTAAGATATTTAAAAGTGTATTAACATTTTTATATTAATTTTTTGTATAAGCTCGTAAAGTATTTATGAAAAATATATTTTATATTACAAGATGATTTTCACATTTGCGACACGTACACTTTTGTTTCATAAAAAATTTATTGTGTGATTATGACGATAGACATATTCTCCTTATATATATAAATTTAATGATTGATATTTATGCAGTACAAGCATATATACTTAAGATATATTATTAAAAGATATAATGATTTCAGTACTTTTTATGATGAAAACGATCGCAAAAGAAATTTTTGAAGGAAAGCGTTTAAATATTTATTAATTGTAACACTATAATATTTTTCCATCACTTTTAAAATTATAATCAATTTTATGTATATTGAGTAAAATTATATATATTAAACATTTATAAAATAATTAAAAAGTTTTATTTATGTTATATTTTAAATTAAATTTCAATATCAAAGTTGAATATAAGAAATTAGTTTTATTTAATTTTAAATAAATGCCATATATTTAACAACAATTTTGTTATATATTTCCAGATAATAATTTTTTTTTTAAATGGAGATGCAAATTTTAAGAATGAAGTATTTGCATTGAATCAATTAAATTGAATTTATTCCAATTTTCAAACAAGGAACGTCTATATTGTACTCTTAATGAAATTCATACGAAAACTTTATTTTGTCACTTATTTGATAAATCATTTAACAGAAAATCCATTATTCGATAATTAAATCAAAGTAATAAAATTCACTAGAGGAAAAATGAAAATAATTTCAATATCACATAAGTTCAGTAAAATTTTGGCACGTTTCAGAGACTTCCGCTGGCGGTCAAATTAAGACTTTTAAAACACCGAAAGAAAGAAAAAAATACAAACCGATAAAATCACAAAATTTAGTTTCACAACTTTCAACTGATATATAAACACAGACGATACCTAAATTTCCGGTTGCCAATATAGCTAATATTGAGCACCATCTCTCCAACCGCCATGTCCAAATGTCAAACTAAAACTAACTAACTCATCGCAAATAACAGAACTCTATTGTGCAAGGAAACAATCACAATCACAATCACAGTCACAATCACAAACAGCAAACAGCAGAAGTAAAAGCAGAATCGAAGAGTACACTGAACCGAGCCGAACGGAACCGTACTCAAACCGAACCGAACATATAAGCGCGCACCGGCCGCTGTTGCACAGAGCAACACATCGTCGTAGAGTACGTAGTAGCAGTACGTACAGCAGCTAAAGCAACATCAGCATTAGAGCATGCCATAGCATAACACCCCATTCTGTAGTATGACATTTGACGCACCATATATATTATATTCGCATCGTAACAAATCGTCTAGCTTCGTTCGTATCGTTACAGAAACGATACCAAACGGTAAAAGATGCATATGCCGTTGTTCGTATTCTCGCCGGAGTCTGGCAGGGAGAATAGCATAGCATAGCATAAAAGACATTTGGGGTTGTGGTCTTGGTTTGTAATCAAAATTGGTTAAAATGCAATCAACAGTTCTTTCAAGCAACAAGAGAATCAAGAAGAGTCATACAATATATATATAAATATATATATATATTATATATATATATATATAAAAAACAAAAGAGTAAATTCAAAAAAAAAGGCAAAAAAATATATAAAAATTAATCAAATGACAAAAGCAGGCAAAATATATTCATGCTGACAACCGAACAGCCGTTTGTTCAGTTTTCACTATAAGCTGACAAATATATTCTCACAATATTAGCATTTACAATGGTAAACTGTCAAGTATTTTGTTGCATTTCCAAATTGTTGTTGCTTGCATGGATGCCACGCCACAGCAGTATCCTTTAAATTTGTTCGTTGTTAAAATAAGGATAAACCCTACTGGTCCAGTTAAATAAATTCACAATTTAAATCTTAAAATTTACATTAATTGTACGGAAATTATTTCTACAGGAAGAAGAGTTGGAGTTGGAGTTGGAGACGAGAGAGTTAAAAACAAAATTTTATTGTGCCTTGGTCACACAGTTTAGTTGAATAGCAGAAGGGGAAAATGCGGGGGATTTACGTATTTTATTCAATTTAATTTTATATTCGGGAGTAAATACAGGACAGGACATTACATGGCATAACATAAATAAGCCCATTTCACAGTTGTACAGAATTTGACCTTGTTGTTCTACCAAATCCATAATTGACACGTTTCAAAATGTTTGTCTAAAATTGGAAATTGTTTATATCGTTCGTAATTATTTTGTTAATTATTGAAAAATAATTTAAAATTGTTTTATTTTCATAATTGTAAAAGAAAATAATTTATAATGTTAATTTCTTTTTCGAAAGTGACGCGAAAAGACACTATTTAAAAGTTAGAAAGGTTCGAATAGAAATGAAAAGAGAACAACAAAATTTTTTTTTGTTAATTTATTTAAGTTTGGCTTTTATTTATAAAATAATTTATTTCTAATATATATTAAAGATATAAAAATACTTTCAAAAATAAATACACAAAGACATTACGAGTATTTCTCTATCTCAAATGAAATAAGTAATATATGTTTAGATTATAATATAAATTAAGTGTACTGAACTCTTAGTGAAGTGCAGACTCAAGAATAAAGATCTGAATGCTTTTTGTTCAAAATTTGCTTTTGTCAGACTGAAATGAGCTCTAGGTTAGTGTTCTCCATCTGGCCTTTATTAAAGCTTGGCATTTAAGTTATACACAACGTAAATAGCCATTTTATTTCCTTCCGAACAGAGATGACATTCTATCGCCGATCTGTCATTTTATAATAATATTATAAATGATAATATAAATATTGTTGTCAAATAACAGAAAATAGCTGTTAATTCTAGGATAATTATATTAATCTGGCAAAATAAGCAAAATTAAACAAAATTTTATTTATATTAGCTATCAAGTAAACCTCTTCGCTCTACTCACGCAAGTAATCAGTGCTTAACTTAGATCATATATGATATATATTTCAAAAAAAAAAAAATGAAATGAAAATGAAATGAAAAAAATTAAATGAAACAAAAAAAATAAAAGAACAAAGGAATAAAATAAAAATTAGTGACGGAAATTCTATTAAGTTTACCTCTAATAATATGAATTGGAATCGGAAGCCGGAATGTATTCTGTTCGGTTAGGGTCTGTTGCAGCAGAAAAGATCGCAATAATACACTCCGTTGGGAGCTGAAACCCTGTTTATTCCTATAACCTATTTCTATGAATCTGAATATATAGCTTTAAATTCAAGTTCATGATTTTATTTAAGATAGTAATGAACAGTATAATAAATATAAAATTGCTAAGCGACTTACTTGAACTGTAACTAACTGCATAATGCTAACGATATCGAACTAATTGAAATAAAATGTCAATATTTTGTCTTATAATAGACCAAATTTATTGTTCACAGGCGTGCTAGTTCTTTGCGTCAGTTTTTTAGAAAAAAGTTTTGTTCATGTGATAGTGCTATATAGCGAACGAAGAGCTACAAGTGGCTATTATTAATACTATCGAAGTGATCCAAAAAAAAGCTTTAAGAGAATAATTTATAAAAATTGAATACTGTTT